CTGCTGTGTCAGCAGTCAGGAATTTTAATATTGAGTTTACACTGATTGTGAGTGTAAAAAAACTTTCCATCAGCTACTTCTGAGACATGGAGTGTTCTTTTCTCCTACAAGAACACTCTACTCCTGATGGAACTTCAAGAGGCCTGGTCCTCAGTTAATATAACGGTTTAGATACAAGGGAATAAATGTAGATATTGTATTTGTTAATGAAAATGTGCCATAGATGAATAGAAGTCAAAGAACAAAAATCTCTATAGTGTAATACTTCCCACAGACCTGCTGTCAAATGAATGAAGTGATTTCTTCGTATTTAGCTTTCATCATACAACAGGTTGCTAAATCATAGATTCATAGCATGATAGAATAGTTTGGATTGGAAGGGACCTTTAAAGGTTGTCTAGTCCAACGCCCCTGCCATCTTCAACTAGATCAGGTTGCTCAGAGCCCCGACCAACCTGACCTTGAATGTTTCCAGGGATGGGGCATCTACCACCTCTCTGGGCAACCTGTTCCAGTCTTTCACCACCCTCATTGTAAAACATGTCTTCCTTATATCTAGTCTAAATCTATACTCTTTCAGTTTAAAACCATTCCCCTTTGTCCTGTCGCAATAGGCCCTGCTAAAAAGTTTGTCGCTATCTTTCTTATAAGCCCCCTTTCAGCACTGAAAGGCCTCAATAAGGTCTCCCCGAAGCCTTCTCTTCTCCAGGCTGAATAACCCCAACTTTCTCAGCCTTTCTTCATAGGAGGGGCATTCCACCCCCCTGATCATGTTTGTGGCCCTCCTCTAACAGGTCCATGTCTTTCCTGTGCTGAGGGCTCCAGAGCTGGACGCAGTACTGCAGGTGGGGTCTCACCGGAGCAGAGTAGAGGGGCAGAATCACCTCCTCGTCCTGCTGGCCACGCTTCTTTTGATGCAGCCCAGGATACGGCTGGGCTTCTGGGCTGCGAGCGCACATTGTCGGCTCATGTCCGCACATTCCATTAAAAGTTTACTTGCAGAAGATAAGGACAGTGAACTAATGATCATAGTTTTATCACCAGGTCTGGTATTTTGGGAATTTTTGTTATCTTTAAACAGAATGTATTGCTAACATAAAAAATTGTTCATCATAGAAAGCAAATTGGTTATAGCTGTTGAACCATTTTTCACATTTATTCAATAGTCTGTTCATTTCATCTTAGAAGCCTGAGATATAAGGAGTGATGCATTGATAATTACCCATTTGTCAAAACAATCTTACC